ACTTTTTTTCCTGGCCTCGGTGCTTTTAAGAAGCTCCCCCTGCCCCCGCCTTTCCCCTCTGTAATCAGGGGGTTGGTCACCCCTGACCTTGACTTGGGGGCTGAGGCCTCGTTTACTCATTTGGGCACTGTGGCTTCTGTGAGAGGAGGGTAAAGTCACAGCATTTTTATCCTCCAGACACGGGGTGGCTTTGAGCCCTGATCGAGAGTGCCTGAGGCATCTGTCAGCTGCCATGCAGGTCTTTGAAGAATTTCTCCGGGCTTCATGCCCCAGCAGCCAGCTGTGTGGAGGGAGCACTGCCCTGTAAGCAGGGTTGGCGGTGCTTGTGGTCACTGTTCACGGTGCTGCCCTAGCAGTTCTGTCCAGAGTTCTGGCCCATTGCACTCTGCTCCTGGCTGGCCCGGATGTCGACAGTCAAGCCCGCAGGTGTCTGCCCTCCCCCATTTCCATGGATAGAGGAGAGATTGGCAGCAGCCCAGCCTGTAAAAGGGAATCTAGATACCGATATCCTTCATAAAGACCTACAATGAAATGTAAATATGCTGGTTCTCTGTTTATTATAGGCCCTGGTAGGAGAAGCAGGAAAGATGACACACAAGTGGGAGTTGGCTGACAAGGAGGAAAGAAAACCATGGCAGCCCAGGAAAGGTAAGGGAGTTTCGACGTGGTGACTATTTTATTTTTTTTGCTTCCATCACAAAGCTGTAGACCCTGGGTGGGGCCTCAGGAGCCTGGATCGCTGGCACCTCCTTATAAGCAGTATTTGTCTCTTGGCTCTTGATGTTTTCATACAAGGATAAGCTTCAGGTGGAGTCCTGAGGATCCTGTGAATCGGAGCTACATCATGTACCTCCTCTCTTTAAAAGACAGTGAGCTATTTAGTACAGAGGTGATTGTGAGCTTGCTGTTACTTGGGTTCAAGTCTGTTCCAGCTGCAAGTGGGCAGTCGCTCCTTCACCCACTCACTGCTGTGATCTGGGGTTTCGTTACATCCCCCAATTGAGTGGGGGTGTTCTGAACCTTTTTTGGTCCTTTGAGACCTCTGACGTCCTTGTCACGAAAGTTGTAGTTTCTGCCTATTGTCCTCCAGGTGTAGTTCTGCTTGCTTTCTTGAACTGCGCCACGTGAGCAACCATTGTTCGGTTGGCTTTCTGCCACGAAGTCGGGGTTTGAGAGCGGGCACCATCCTGTCAGTAGCATTCCAGGTGCCTTCTGCTGCTGTCTATTGTGCCAGGGTCTGAGTTCCGTCCAGGCTTCTGGCCCATGGCTTTCCATTTCCAACTCGCCCTATCTTTGGAAGGTGAGCAAGTTGATTTCTGCTTGTCCCTCAAACAGAAGACAGATCAACGGGTTACAGGGAAGGTCTAAACAGAGAAACGTTGCAACTTCCTGTCCCAGTCTCTGGCTCCATGCCTTACACCCAGATTGTCGATCTCAATTTTTTTGTGTGGTGGGTTCTTATTTTTTTTCTTTTTCCTTTTTGCAGCTGCCAGAAGGACAAGCAGTGGGCAAACAACGACCGGCAAAAAGTCAGCAAACAAGGATGCAAAGGAAAGGGGCTCTGGACAGAATGACTTCCCTCCTTTTAGGTCTCGATCATGTATTAGGCAAATTTTGGCTGTGTGAACCTTTGAGCGAGCTCTGTGTAACCCGGAAATAGGTCTCTGCCCTTGATGCTGTTGCACTTCTGCAGCAATCACGTGGACAACCCTGTAAGGAAGGCGCGTGTCACCGTCACCTTGTTCGCAAAGGCCGTGGATCTGGTTGGTCTTGCGCAGCGCAGCCGCCCTGTAATCAGGGTCCAGGCCAGCTGCCAGACGTGGCTGCCAACGGCACAGCCTCCCATAAGCGGGGAGTATGCTGCCTTTTACCACACGAGAAGGAGAGTGGATTTGAACGTGCGTAACGCTGGACGTCCTGTAACTGGGAGGCCAGGTCCGCTGCCATAGCCTGCCAGTCGGAGAGGTGCCCCTGGAAGCAGGGTGTGCGTAGCCTCTTTCCGCTGGCTTGAGAGCCGGAGCAGTCTGCAGCGCTGTGCCACAGGGCGGCCTTGCAGACAGGAGCTGAGTCTCATGCAGTGACAGCAAACTCCTTAGAACCCAGAGCTTGATGACCTTCCCGTGGCTGGGTTGAAGCCTGTGACCTCTTCTACATTCCCTGTGTCCAGGCATATGTCCTTCCTACATCTATGCCTGGCACTCCTCATCTGGACAGCTGGGCCGCCCTGTAACGAGGGTATAAGTCCCGTGCCCCTGGTGGAGGGCAAGGTTCTGCACAGCTGTGGACTGCCCTGTAAATAGGGTCTGGGTCTCAATGTGCCTTTGGGGACAGCTCTGTCCTTTGGCTGGCTGAGGGCCCTCCCTATACCAGGGCTCTGGGCCTTCCCGGTCTTTTCCCCCCCTCCCCTGAAATCAAGTCTGTTTGGAGGCAATGCTTGCCCACTTCACCTCCTTTTTTGCGATAAGAGGCATCTGCTAAAATGAGGCTGCTCAATGATTATTAACAAATGCCTGTTGTCTCTGACGTGTTTTTGATGAGGCTTTTGTGGGAGTGTCATGGGGCGACTGAAGAGGGTTTGTTTGCTAGGGCTGCGTTTACAAAGAGGACCATTTATTCTCTCCTTTCTCTTTGCGCATCTGGCATGAAAAGCAGGAGGGACAAACCTCACTTGTCGATATCCCCCTTTCACACTCTCGCAGATCAAGCACTTGCTCTTCATAGCTGCGGGGTTCATGTCCCAGCAGAGCAGCTGCAGAAGCCGTCATGCCACCCTTGGTGAGATGAGCGGTCCATCTCCTAGCCAGTGACACCAGTGTTTTGCTCGGTCCCAGCACATCACTCAAACTAACACATCAGCTCCCCCACAACTCCCTTTCAGCTTGTAAGGGGCCAGAGGGACCTTGGCAGATCATCAGGTCCAGCCCCCTGCACTAAGCAGGAAAGACCGTCCAGTCTCCTCTTGAAGGTTTCCAGGGTAAGGATCTTTATGGTGAGAGAGAGGAGTGCCTGGGAATGAAAGCGTTTGTTATTTTCTTTTTGTTCTTAAAATTGGTGCAGCATACTTTATTTTCTTCCCAGCACTGGAAAAGGGGCAAGATGTGTCCTCGTAGCCTTCTCCTCCTGCCTTCTCACCTAGGGGGTTAAGCAACGCTATAGATCTCCATGCCTTCTGGCCTGGGGTGTTGCTAGGCCCCCCTCTAATACTTTTGGGCAAGCAACCTCCCTGTATCTCAGGGTAGGAGCCCCCTCTTTTTGGGTGGCTAGCATGTTCTTGTGGCCACTTAGTACCTCGCATGAAGGGTTCCTGCCATCCTTTTTGAGAGAAGGCTATGTATTCCATATCCAAGTTCCTGGAGATGAGTGCCCTGGCACTTGGCCAGCTGTACTTTGGCGCCCCCATGCCCAGCCTGCAGCATGTAAGCAGAATGTAAGCGTCATTCTCTGGATCTTGTTCCACTTGGAGAGGCTGGCCAGAGATGATACCCACGGATTGCAGGGAAGGTTGCAGGCTTGTGGAGGATACTGAGTGCGTTGGAACCCTGAGGCTTCATGACCTTCCTGTAACTCAGGTCTAGGTCTCTGCTCCTGCAGTTCTGCTTTTGAAATACGCATGCACTAAACTTAACAGGAGATATTAACCAATAGCAAACTAAGCCTAGCCCATAAGATAAGACGTAACAACAAGGAAATTGTGGTACTGCCAATAGTTGTATGACACGTTGTAGCCCTTTGTTTATGTAAGCTATAAAAGTGTAACCCCGAGAGAAATTCGGGGTTGACACTGCTTTGAGCATCAGCTCCTCTGTCGACATTGCTTGCGCAATCAATAAACTCATGACGGACTCACCCTGTGTGTGACTCTCTCCTTGAGGTGAAATTGGTCTAGCCTCCAGGGGCACGAAACTAGCCATTTGGCCAACAACCTCAATAGGTGTTTTGTCCTTTTAAGCACAGCAGTCCCACTCCCAAAAGTACTGGATGCAATCATGGCTTAGTGTTTTTAAGTTTTTGGCTCCTGTCCAGTCTTTTGTACCATTCAGGTTCTGTTTTCCTCTCTCCTTATACTCAGACAAATGAAAGCGATTCGTGTACTGCTTTCTTTTTTCGCAGTTGCTGTCTCTCTTACAGCTGACCTGTGTGCTCTCCCTGCAGTCTAATCTGCATAGGTCCCCAAGGTCAGCCTGATTTGAATAGAGTTTTCCAGTTTTTGCATGGTGCTTCTGCATGTGTTGTAGCGCACAAACGAAGCGCATCACCCAGAAACAACTGTGCTGGGCTAACTGAGTTAGCTGGGACCTGTGTTTAGCCTGAAAGGCATTTGGACACAGTGTCTGTCCTCTCTGCAAGCTGCGTCCCCAAGTTGTCGACCTTGTGATTAACGTGTTGTGGAAGGTTTGGAGCAGCGGGACCCCCTTATACACAGGATTTCTGCCTTAGGTCCTCCTGTTGTCATACAGGGGTGACTGCTAGCAGGGTACTCCTCATTTAGGAAACTGGGTGTATGTCACTTCCCCCTTGTTTTGAAAGGATACCAAGCTTGAGAGTACAATAGGCAGCGTGAGCTATGTTGTTTTATATTTTAGAGGGATGTGCAATTCATTGCCAGTCAACTTGACTTCTGTTTTGTGTACTATAGCAGGTCCCTGAAGGGCAGCTGGAGAAGAATGAACAGAAGCAGGAAATCGAGCTCAGGAACAAAAAGTGAAGGTTGGGGTGGGCAGGAGGGAGGGAGGGAAATTGTTAATGTATGCTTAGACGAGTCCTGATGGAGACTGTGCATCTCTACACTTTCAAACACCCATTAGGAGCAAGCAGCCCCACGCTTCAAGTTGCACCGTTCATTCCGTCTTGGGTTGGCCCCAGGATTGAACATCGCTTATCCGCTCCCCAGTATTGGTTGCACTTGAAAGGGCATATCCCGATGTGCAGTTGCCATGGTTAATGGGATAAACTGCTGACATGCAGCGATAATATAAGGCGTTTTGCTTTATTTTCCAAAGGCTACTCAGGAGAATATGATCATATATGCTTGTGGATGCTGGGAGGATCTGATGTCAGCATTCAAAACTGATGGAGAATACAGAGAACCAAGATGGTCAAGTTGGAAAGAATTGCATATCCCAAGACCTCTGTCCTTGGACTCGTAAGTGAACATCAGCTTTAAAATGCAGCCTGTTTTCAGAAAATGCCCTCTACCGTTACCCTCCATGCCTGCAAATATGACTTCAGCAAACCATTCCTTTGCCCCATGCAGGGTCTATGCCAAGAGGTAGCCAGCCACCGCGTGTCATCATTGCAGAGTGAACTGAAATGATGAGCAGCTGGGTTGGAGCAGCATGATTAAGCCAGTCTCGGTGTTGATAGCCAGACTGAAATGTCATTATGGAGTTGCTGTGTCCTTGAGCGTGTCATGCTTCTCTGGGTATTCCTACTTGTAGGGGCATCGTTGTGATAGGACAAGCAGGAGTGCTCTGTGATTAGGTCTCTAGCACTGTAGGATGGATTTGCCTGTGCTGGTGCCACCTCTGCAATCACTGGAACGGGTTACCCAGAGTGGTGGTGCAACCTCCATCCTTGGAGGTTTTTAAGGCCCAGCTTGACAAAGCCCTGGCTGGGATGATATAGCTGGGGCTGGCCCTGCTTTGAGCAGGACCTTGGACTAGATGTGACCTCCTGAGCTCCCTTCCAACCCTTGTTTTCTATGATTCGATGCATGTCCTGTCCTTCTCTGAGCGCTCCTACTTGTAGGGGCATCTTTGTGATGTAACAAGTAGGACTTCTCTATGATTCGATTCTCCAGACTTGTAGGGTGTGTTTGCCTGTGCCGCTGGGTGCAGGAGGAACCCGGGGTTATTATGGAACCATTCTTGTCAGGACAAAATTGCTTTGTCAAAACAGACTTTCTTTTGAAATGTCATGTTTCCAGGCACCCCTTTCCCACCAGTACTCACTCAGGCACTCTCTTTATTTTCAAATGCCATCCTGCACTGGGATTTGGATTCTGCTATGCCAGGGCTGGGCAAAATGCAGCCCACCAAGGCAGTCTATCTGGCCCGCGGGGCCCCTAAAAATTTAGAAAATCAATATTTATCTGCCGTTGGCTGCCTGTCATGCGGCCTTGATGCCTTGCCAAAACTCGTTAAGTGACCCTCTGCTCAAAATAATTGCCTGCCCCGTGCTAGGCTAACAATATAGGGAAACTGGATGTAAAGGAGGTGAAAAGCGCAATACGATAGCTAGTTATCTTAAATTGTCTAGCTGTTGGTGGTAGGTCTCACGTGAATAATTGCCTGTGCACAAGTGCTGCATACTTGATTTTTACCCGGGTGTTGTGAGTGTCTGTTAAATATGTGCGGTCACCCAGCAAAATGTGCACAGCCGGCTTCTCCCTTTCCTTTACCTGGATCGCTCTCTTGAGCTTGACATCACAGCGGTGACTTGGAGAGAATAAAGTATTGAGTGGGGAGTATCCATTCTGTCTGCGGTCTCCCACATGAGGCCACTCCCACATGAGGCCACCTGGTGCTTTGGCCTCAGTGTGACCTACAGAAACGTCTCTTGACAGGCAGTCAACGGTAATTTCTTCCATTATGAAGTGTGTTGGCTCTGTCCTGTTAGGAATTTAAACCTTATATGTGTTTAAATTGCCGGAGAATGCATAGGGCTGCTTTTGAATGGGGATTGGTGTGCTTTCTCTGGCCATAAATTCAGAGCCACGGGTCAATTCTGGCAAAAGCAATATGGACCCAGTTACAAAATGGAACAACTGTTTTGTATTACCATGAAGTCTTGTAGCTTTGTCCCGTCAGAAAGATATTGCATAGGTTTGCAATGCCAGTGTACGTTTCCCCTAGACTGCTGAAGATCCAACCTCTGTATTTTTTGCACCCAAAATGCTGCAAGTGGAGATTAGAAGGGTCAGCAGGGAAGCAGACCTGGTTCTCCTTGGTAGCACGTGTGCTCCAGGGGCCTGGCAGAAAGCAGTTGTACAAAAGCAGGTGCTTTTTTCCTCTGCTGGCCCATTGCGGCGAGATGGTTCACTGTCCTTCTACTTCATTTCTCAACTTCAAACTTGGCCCCCTGGACACCTTTGGCATAGAAACACTTTTCACAGGAGACTTACAACTCTTTCAAGTTGCCTGTTGGGCAATCAATGTCTTTGCTGCCCCCAGCCAGCCTCTACTTATATTTTTCACTGCTACATACATTCCCACCTTATCTTTTCTGTGGCAGATCCAGGGTAGAAAGAGGTTTCCACTGCCTTTATACATCTTCTAGTCAAGGACATTGACATCAGCCTCTTGAAGGCTCAGGGCAAGCGTCGTAGCTTCTTAACCTGGCAGGGGAAATCCCATGCATCTGTGTCCAAGAAGACCGTTTTCTTGAACCGCTTTGCAGGAGAACTGCTCTTCTGGCATGGTTCAGTACCTGCCGAGGTGCAGCTGCTTTAAGCCCAGTTTATGGAAATGGGAGTCTCCTCCCTTGCTTGCTCCAAGGGCCTTATGGCTAAGGGCAAGCAAAACTCAGGGACATCCAAGCCCCAAGCCTCTGGGTTTGGGCCTGCAAGTAGGATGCCCACCAAAGGTTTTGGAAACCTCTGAAGCCCCAGGTGTGGGTGGAGGATGTTTGCTAGTATTAGGGCCACTTTGAATTTGCTGTTAGTTTTGGCTAATGTGGCCTCGGATACAAATTAAATAATAAAAAAAAAAGTCTGCTGAATTGGGATTGTAGCATTTTGTACCAACATATAAACAAATGAGGCTTCAGGGCAAGTAAAAATCAGACAGCTTGAGTCCAACAACCAGCCGCAGGCATGTGCCGATTATAGCTTGGTTCTAGTTCTGACAATGGGATTTGTTTGCAGCTCTACGCAACAGAGTGGAGCAAGCAACCCCCTCAAAAGGGAATTCATCGTCCTGTGTTCAGTACTTCTCTTGGAGCGCCCTTTGAAGTCTCTGTGAACAAAGCACCCCTGGACAAATAGGGAGATAGTTTATGAAAGCTTATAAAAAAATGCCCTGGAAAGCTAAATTACAAGTGATTATCTGACATCATGATAGCCCTTGCCACAGCATCTCACTCAACTATTTATTTAGAGAAAAGAATTGCTGCTTGTCAAAGGTCTGATCCAGTAGAAGCCAATGAGAGTTTTGCACTGAAATTAATATGAATTAAATCATGCCGGTGCTCAAGACCTTGCAGACAATGTGCTGGCAGAAGTAGATAAGTAGATGCTGGGGGCGGGGGAGTAGAAGATAAATTATTCAGATATCTGAAACATTTTAATGTCATTAAGTAATTTCATCTACCGGGCTTTGCAGATGTGTGTGAATGTTCACATGCACTCTGTATAGAGCGTAGGACTAAATTAAGCATTCAAAGTGCTGAACGCTCCCTAAGATGTGCTCCGTTGTGGTGCTATTCTTCTCAGGGTTTTAAACACACATGCCAGGGTGACCGTGTTTCAGCGGTGCTCTGTGTTTGTGCAGAGGAATTGTTTTTGCAGAAATAACCTCAGCGTAGATATTTGCTCTTTTTCAGCACTTTCACGTTTCGGTTGGCCCTGGAGCAGAAACACCTGAATGGTCTGGGAGAATGTATTGCTTTTTAGAGTAGGGAGCCAATCATGCAAAATGGCAATTGGACTGGTAGTGTTGTACATACTCTTTGTGCGAAGCAAAGTGGAGGCCAATGGGACCTTATATCCATACTGCATGGGGTTCACCCTGTCCTGAGCTATATTAGGTTATTGGCCCATCGTATCTTTGTTTGCCAGCACTGGGCATATAGATGTTCCCAGGATTATCACCACTATGTCAGATGGAGCAATGGTCAAGGCGCAATGGTCACAGAAAGGAGCAGATGGTCAGATGGAGCAAATGGGCACAGAACAAGAAGCAATGGTCTCAAGTTGCAGCAAGGGTGGTTTAAGTTTGATAATAGGAAAAAACTTTCTCAGTGGAGTCTCCATCCCTGGAGGTTTTTAAGGCCCAGCTCACCAAAGGCCTCAGTGGAATGATCTAACTGGGGCTGGTCCTGCTTTGAGCAGGGGTTGGGCTAGATGTGACCTCCTGAGGTCTCTGCCAAGTCTCACTTTCTATGATTCTGCAAGTTGTAAGATTTGCTGTATCCCATAAGCGAGCTCAGATGATTGTCCTTATTTTGTAGAGGGAGAAAGTGGGGTAAAGAGAGGTTAATGATGATTTAATTGTGCTCGTACGGTCTGGCAGTGCTTCTACAGTCCCTCTTCTCTCTAATGGCTTAACGCCCCAGCTAGTCTTAAATTCATTAGCATTAATAATATTGGTCTTATATACATTTCAAAGCACTTTTCCAAAGGAGATTAATCTATGCATTTCTGTTCCATGCAGATGGAGTAGCCAAAGGGCAGAGAGGCCCAGATTCATGCAACAAACCTGAGTCATGGCTGGAAACTAAACTCAGGTCGACCTAAGTCCAGGGTTTTGTTTGCTAGGACATATTGCATTTGTATAGGAGTATCAGTGAAGCTACTCGTGTGCTTCCTAGGACACCAGGCATCAAACTCCCATGTGGTAAAACTAGAAACTCAGTGGGAATTATCCATATCTGTCACTCAGACCTCTTATTGCAAATCCCAGCAAAGTGAATGCAACTATTCAAGGAGGAAGGTAGAATTTGGTGTTAGAATAGTGCTAGTATTAGGAAACCAAATATTTCTTTTGAGTTAACCTGAGAGCAAAGCCTTTTGAAATTTTAAATCCAAACACAGAATTGTAGAAAAAATAACAAGTTTCAGGCCAAGCAACATTAAAAAAACAAACAAAGGTGTTAAATTTCATAACAAAACACCATTTTGGAAAAGGCAAAAATGATTCAGGATTGGGGGCGGGGTGGGGGCGGGGAGGGATGTCATTTTAACAAAAGGAAACGTTTCACTGAAATCAACAGGAACTCGTCAAGCATTTTAGTTGACCCCAAACTGCACGTTCTCAGGTGAAAAATGTTCAGGTGAGAAACTTCACTGAGCAGAAGAAGGGGATCAAGCTTGTCCGGGTGCAGAGGCTTTTCCAATCCAACTTGAGCTTTCTCAGAGTTGAAGTGAAGCTAAGGTCTTGTGATGGTCCACAAGGTAAAGCTTCCCTATGTGTCTACTTTAGCAAC